GTATCTGGAAGGGGGCTGGGTAATAGAAACACAAACCCTAGAGAGAAGTCTTGGGTCAAGCAGCCACCTGAATTTGTGCCTACTGTATACACTCAACCCCTAGATACGGCACACACATGTCCTCTTCTCATAGAAACAAAAATGACTCTCTTCACCTGTTACGGATCCAATTACCGCAAGGACGACAGCAAATGCACCTGTCACTTCTCCAGCTGGAGCCACGCCCACATTGCCTCCACCTCCTGCATCCTCAACTTCTGTCATGGAGAGGAGGGACCCAGCACGCTGTCCATTTTTCTCTTGGTCCATTGGGGTCTCCTATCCCAATTCTGAAAGCCCATGCTGAAAAGCCAGGCTGCCCTGGGAATAGAAAACTAGAGGTAGATGTCTGCTTTCTACAGTCAAAGATGTCAGCATTGAGGGCCCAGGGATGGAACAAAATTCTTTCATGAGATAGAACTAACTATTCAACGTCCGTTCTCCTCTTCCTAGTTCAGGAGGTTGGTGTGAACAATCTGCAGCTTCCAGTCAGTCTTTTGTGTGTGTATATTTGCCAGAAACGAAGAGGTGGGGTTGAGGCTACAACCACCACTGACCATTGCTGCCACTATTACAAACCTTTGACTGATTTTTTCACTCAAACTTCCCCTTACTGATCGGCAAATTCATCCTTGTGCTGTCTGAACTCCTTGGTGGTCCTGCCTCCGTAAGGTTGTGGGATTTTCTATCAACTTGTACTACTTGTTAGAGTATTACGAGAAGCAAACCTCGATCCTCCTGTCCTGTGTGTCACAACAACACGAAGTTCTCTCGATAATCAAATAAATAAGTCCAACCTGCTGACCTCAGTGCTATCTTCACATCAAGTAGCCTGAGAAGCCAGGTGTGGTCAGGTTCAAAACCACTGTTGTCAGCCTTGAGGGGGGCATTCTCAGCTACTAAAATTCCTGGAACCAAAATCCCAGAGTCATAGGTATTGAAAACAAAACTTTTGAAAGTGATTCATTGTATGTAACCATAGAGTTATCACCCTCATCTTAACCGCTTACTGCCCAGGTTTATAAATTCTGGCTTTCACAGGAAATGAGGTCAATTCTAGGTATGGATTCAGAGCATAGCACATTCTAAAGGCAGCTCCCAGCCTCTGACACGGAGTTGAGTCCCCTTTGGGCCATTTCCATGGGATCTAAGGCTGTCACTTCCGGGGGTGAGATTCACCGGGCGCCAAGTGGTCAGCCTTGATGACGAGTTCCAGCCAATCAGCACCAAAAGCTCAGGAAGCTACTAGCTACAGATTCCTGCCTTGGGGGAGCTAGGCACTTCTCCCGGGCCCTGCCTGTGCAATGAGGTTAACCATTTAGTTTCTACAGATGTTTTCCTCACTTTAATAGTAAAAACACACCCCTAGGTGGAGATTTTATATGGTAATAATACGTGTAATATGTGTTAGAGCAGAGAGATGCTAATCGCATGTGCCAATCCCAGGTCCACTTTTGCACACTTGACCTCACTGGTACCTTATGAATATGCATGCCCAGCTCCCATAAAGGGAATTCCCCACAGGCACTAGGGGCCTTTGAACAGACCGCTGTGCCTCTCAGAGCACACTTTCACTTTGCAGTAAACTTCTTTGCCTACTCTTGGACATGCTCTCAAATACTTTTGTGCAGCAAAGTCAAGAACCTCAACTTACCCAGCAACAACAGCCTCAGAAGAAATGTGGGACTGCTCATCTCACTACCTTCCCTCCCTCTTCCTTTCTTTCCTCTGTCCCCTCCTGCCCAATTTTTCCCCTTTAAATACTGAGGGACTCAAGACCCTCTTTGGAAAAAGCATGGGCCCCACATCCTACAGTGACTTGTGTCTGTTTCTCCCAGGTGCATCCTCAACCTTGGCCGAATAAACCTCTAAACCAATTGAGAACTGTCTTGAACGCTTTTTGGTTTACAAGTCTTGGCTCCTCCCTGAGTTGATGGATGAAAGTCACTGCCCTGCCCCCTTGCCTCAGTTTCCTCACCTGCAAACTCAGATCATGATCCTGGTTTATTGAGGAGATGATCATAAGACTGCAATCCAAATGGGGAAGTAAATAAATGCATTGCAAGCTACAGTGAGCAGTTCCTGTGTGATCACCTTCTGTTCCTCCCTCAAAAGCTGGTGTGTGTGTATAGGGTGGTGGCCAGGATGTCCCATGGACATTTGTCCTGGATGAACTAGGACTCCCTGGAAGGGCCAGGTTGACCTCTGTTGTCCAGCCCCACTCCAGCCCTTCTGCCTCAGACAAAGCAGAACCGTTTGACAGCAATCCAGCTTCGTGACTTCTCAGCTGTGAGACTGTGGCCAAGCAGTGGACTTAGGCCCCTCCCTTCGAGGTGTCATGGGAGTGGGGCACAGGGCAGTGGACTCCACAGGGACAGATGCTGGGAGACTTCTCAGAGGAGGCAATGCCGTAATTGAGCTCTGAAGGATAAGCCTGATTTTTCAGATGGTGGAAGCCAGTGCTCCAGATAGAGGAACCCACATAAGCAAATGTCCAGAAGCCACATGGGCATGGTGTTGAAAAACAGTCATAGAGTTCAGTATTCAGTAAGCACCTGGTATGTCTGAGAGGTTGTGCTAATACTGATAGCACGGGGGCGAGTAAAGCAGGCACGCTGGGAGTGTGAGGGGCACTGGAAGAGGGGGAGTAATCTGGGGGATCCCACAGCCTGTCAGTGACAGATGTTTCTTCCTGAAGACCATAGCAAACCCCCCTGAGGATGCGAGGCAGGTGAGTTGATGAGAAGGTTCTGGAATGTCGGGTCTGGGGTTGCTGCTGTAAGTGTAGCAGCAAGGAGGGAGGGACTGGGCTGAAGGTGGTGCTGGCGAGCAGTGTCTTTAGTGGGTGTGCGTGATCACGAGCTGCTGAGAAGTTGTGACTTGGTTTCCATTTCAGGCTCTCCAGGTGGGAAAAGATGAAACTTTTAAAGTTATAAAATTGGGCATTTTACCCATTTTTATTTCCTTTCTTTTTTTTTTAATCTTTGATCATCAAGCTGCTGAGTTTCCACAGGGCACAGGACTGCCCAGTCTCCCTGACAACTCCTTGGGACCTTCTTCCTAAACTGTGGCTAATGGAAGGTGAGGGCAGTGATGTCTGAAACCTGTAGGTGTTTCTCTTAAGGGGAAGATTCTTGTGCTCCGTGTCCTCTTCTGTTCTTTGGGCTGGGATGTGTGGGTGGGCACCAGCTTCCACGTGGAAAACAGCAACTCCCTCTGAATGGCGACCCCTGGTCGACCTTTGGGAGCAAAACCACCTGCCACTGAAACTTCCTAGCAACGTTGGTGTGAATGTCTCAGTTCGGCAATCTCCTATATCGTTGATTGAAGATATTGGTATTTGGGAGCTCTTTGTTATGGCAGCCTGACATTGGCAACCTAACTAACTCAAGGCCCACCCCTCAGTTCCATCTCCACCCTTGGCTCTGAGCCTCTTCCTCCTTCCGAATTCTGCCTTTGTGACCATCTCCTTTGGGCTGGTCAAAGGGCATCATTTGGACTACACCGTGTTGGTGGTGGATTAATTGTTGGTAACTTCCTCTAAGCAGGAGGATTTTGCAGCTGGGTTTCTCTGCCTGATGGTTTTCAAAATTAGCTCCTGGAATTTCTAAGCACCCACATCATTGTTAACTGAGCACTGTGCATGGAAGAGCCTGGTGGGAAAGGGAGGGGAATAGAGTTTTGAAGTACATTTTAGGACTACATTCTGAGATTAAGACAGAAAGAAAAATAATGTTTAAGTCCGTTTCAATGCTGGGATACTCGGTTACAACTCCAGTACATTGGGAGGCTGAAGCAGAAGGGTTACTTGAGGCTAGGAGTTTACGACCAGCCTGGGCAACATAGTGAGACCTCATCTCTACCAAGAAAGTTAAAAAATTAGCCAGACATGGTGGCACATGCCTGTAGTTTCCGCTGCTTGGGCTCCTGAAGTGGGGGGATTGCTTGAGTGCAGAAGTTTGAGGCTATAGTGAGCCATGATCCTGCCGCTGTACTCCAGCCTGGGAAACAGCGAGATCCTGTCTCTTAAAAAAAGTGGGAGGCAGGGCACGTTGACTCACGCCTGTAATCCCCGAGGCAGGCAGATCATGAGGTCAGGAGATCGAGACCATCCCGGCTAACACAATGAAACCCCATCTCTACTAAAAATACAGAAAAAATTAGCCGGGTATGGTGGCGGGTGCCTGTAGTCCCAGCTACTCTGGAGGCTGAGGCAGGAGAATGGCGTGAACCCGGGAGGCGGAGCTTGCAGTGAGCCAAAATTGTGCCACCGCACTCCAGCATGGGTGACAGAGTGAGACTCTGTCTCAAATAATAATAATAATAATAATAATAATAATAATAATGGAAGCCATGGCCTGTTGTGTGGCCTAGGGGAAATGATTTCATTTTCTAAGTCTGTTTCTGGTCTGTACATGGGGATAGGAGAAACATCAAGAATACTAGAGGGTGCACGGAGAAGATGAAAATGTAACCAAGAATCCCATTTTAAGAGTTTATTTTTTTTGTTTTTGGTCTTCTCTCTTTGTCCATTTCTTGTTTTGCTTTCAGTAATGTGTGAATCTTTGCTTTCCTTTTCTATGAGGAACTCCCCTTCTATGCACTGTATTTTATTTAATCATGTGATTGCTTAGAAATTCCGGGGAAGAAATCTTGAAATCATCCAGGAAGCTACGGAATTACCTCACGGCTACAGTGAATTTCCAACCTGGCTGTCCTGGAGATGCCCCCAGTCGGTACACCAGATGGGGCAATAACTCGAGATGGTCATTGGACAAGTCGCTGGCACCTCTTCACCACTCTCGCATGGCTTTCATATCAAGTTTCCCTTTTGAAATCCCTGCCCTCAACTGAAAATCTGAAAGGGTTTCTTTAAGGCACTAGCCTGACCTCATTCCCCGATACGGGATTTTGGAATGAAGTCACTTTCCTTTCACTGTTTCTCATCCTTGTTCATTTGCCTTTGCAAGCAGTGAGCAGCTGAAGTTTTCTACAGTTACAAATGGAGATCATGCAGACATCATGATTGCTCACTGCCCTGTATACAGAGTGAGTGTTCAGAAAAATTGATTCTTGTTTACTGAGCATCTACTATATGCCATGCATATTCCCCACCCTGCCTGTATTTATTCTCTTAGGAATTCTGAGAGATAAATTCTATGATTAGCTTTATTCTACAAGCAAGAAAACTGAGTCATGAAGCCAAAAACTGGGGCAAATTCCAGCTGTCTGATGCCAAATATCCTCTCCAGCTCATGGGAGGGAGGGATATCTGGACAGGACACTGGGACACTCTCTGTGATGTCAACATTTCAGGGCAGCTTTTGCAAATTGCTGGACATGGGGTCTGTTTCGGGAGCATGTTAGTCCTTGATGTGGGTTACAGTTGGTCATCACCGGCCCCGCCAGACCCAGCTCCCTGTGGCCATCAACCATAGAACAGGTGGGACTTGGGCAGCATATTCTGGTGGTATTTAGAGTTCTGTGATTCATCTTGAGCCAACAGGGAGAAAGTGAGGAAGAAAATTACATTTTCAGAACACTTGAGAGATTTTGGGAAGTCACTTGCTTTGGGGGAAACAGGAAGGTCCAGAAAACAAAACAAAACAAGAACCAGAAAGGCCTGGCTAAAGCCCAGCTCTGCCTCTTTCTGGGTAAGTCATTTCACTGCACTTGAACTTTCGATTTTTCTTCCGGGAAACCAGGTTAGTAAATATTTTCATGACAGGGCTCTTGTTGAAACTCGTATAATTATGTGAGTAAAAATGTTTAGCAAACCTAAAAAGGCTCCGGTGCTATTACTTTTTTTCTGCAAAGGTTGGGTTTGAAACAACTTTTAATTTTTTTAATTGTGATAAAATATTCCTAACTTAGAATTGATCATATTAACCATTTTTAAGTGTACAGTTCAGTGGAATTACATTCACATTGTTATGCAACCACTGTCATCCACATAACTCTTTTCTTCTTGCAAAATGGAAACTTTGTATCCAGTAAGCAATAACACCTCATTCTCCCTCTCCCAGGACCTGGCAGCGAAACTGAAACTTTGTATTTACTAAACAAGAACTCCTCATTCTAAACTCCTCATTCTCCACCCTGGTTGCCCTGGACCCTGGCAACCACCTCCCTGCCAAGGACAAAGGGAAGACCTCTCTTCGAGTAAAGTTAATTCTTCACAGAATAAGGTCTTCTAGATCCAATCCCGCTTCTTTTTGTTCATCTACCGGGTTTCCATCTTACTAATACTTTGCAAGTGACGGTGGTGATCTGCCCTTGAGTGAGGTGCATCTTTATCAAATGCCTGCCACTAACGAGCATCTGAGATGACTTTAACTCACGTGCTCCTGGAATGAAGAAGTAATGCTGCGGATCTATGATGTACAAAACATATTTAATGTTGGCAGAAAAGTGTTTGCATTTGTAAAACAGCTTTCCATTTGATTTCCAGTTTTTACTCTCAAACTATATGATTTCCACAGGAGAGATCTAATGGAGCCCATTTTACACATGAGTAAACTGCCGTTCTTAATCGTCTGACTTTATTGGTAAGGGGATGACGCACATGTGCTCCCTAAAGCTCTGAATAAGCTGACCGCACACAAGGCCATAAAGAACAAAGACATGCTGCAAAACGACGGGCAGCACCGGGAGTGGTATTGAAAGACTTTCCTCGGTTGAAAAGGAAGCCTGAGGAGCATATAAGAAAGCTCTGTACACTTGCAGACAGGATTGAGCAGGTCCACAGAGGCTGCACCATCCCCAGTGTGGTGTTCAGTACTGCAGGTGTTGCTTCTGACGTCCTGACCATCCTGGCCTGGCTCTGGCACCGTGACAGAAGGAGCTAGTCTGATGCTCTTGAAAACTGGCATAGTGCTGGGAACAGCGGTTTCTGTGAGTGGTATTAACACCAGCATCATAGAACACTCAGTGACATTTTCTGAAGCATCCAAAGCCATCAGCCTGGTCATAGGCAACACTGGCCTAGTGAAGGGGATGCAGGAGTTTGTAGGTGAGAACATCCTTGACTTTGTTTCCTTATCTGACCATGTGTACCAAGTCGCAGAAGACGTTGGGAGGGCCATCCGTGCCATCAGACGAGCCAGAGTCATCCCTCCCTTAGTGGCCAATGCCATGCACCCCTTGGCAACTCGACGAGTCTCAGCTGGAACTGGTGCACAGGTGGAGAGAGCTGCTGAAGGCACTGCTCTTGCAATGAGCAGATGAGCCTGGGTCAGGGGTGCAGCCACCAGAGGTGTCTTCCTTCTACTGAATATGGTCAGCCTTGTGTGTGAGTCAAAGCACTTTAATGAAGGGGCAAAGTCTGAGTTGGCTGAGGAGCTGAGGTGACAGGCTCAGGAGCTGGAGGGGAGGTTAAGGAACTCTAGCCTGGGCGACAAGAACAAAACTCTATGTTAAAAAAAATAATAGATAGATAGAGAGAGAGAGAGAGAGAGAGAGAGATACAGATACATATACATATACCTGAGGCTGGGTAATTTATTTTAAAACATGATTTAATTGGCTCATAGTTCTGCAGGCTTCATAAGCATGGCTCCAGCATCTGCTTCTGGTGAGGGCCTCGGGAAGCTCACAATCATGCCAGCAGGGAAGGGGAGCTGGCATGTCAATGGTAAACGTGGGAACAACAAGGGGGAGGCAGAGCTCTCACACTCTTTTAAACAATTAGATGTTGCATGAATTGAGTCAAAACTCGCTCATCTCCAAGGGGATGATGCTCAGCCATTCATGAGGAATCTGCCCCCATGATCCAATACCTCCCACTAGGCCCCCTTCCAATGCTGGAGGTCACATTTCCTCATGAGGTTTGAAGGGGACACATATTCAAATCATATCATTCGACACAACCCCCCCATCACATGTTCTTCTCACATTGCAAAACACAGTCATCCCTTCCCAGTGGTCTCCCAAAGTCATAATTTGTTCCAACCTCAAGTTCAAAGTTCTAAATCACATGCAAAGATCCCTCCTTCCAGCTAGGAGCCTATAAAATCAAAACAAGTTACTTACTTCCAGGATAAAATGGTGGCATAGACATTGCATAAACACTCCCATTCCAAAAGAAAGAAGTCGGCCAAAAGAAAGGGGCAACATGCCCCCATGCAAGTCCCAAACCCAGCAGGGCAGACGTGAAACTTTAACCCTCCAGAACAATCTTTGAATCCATGTCCCATACCTAGGGCACGCTGGCACAAGTGTTGGTCCCCCGAGGCTTTGAGCAGCTCTGCCCCTGTGGCTTTTCAGGGGGCAGCTGCTGTGGCTGCTGCTACAGATGGATTACAGTTGAGTGCATGTGGCCTTTCCAGGCTCAGGATGGAAGCTACTCGTGGCTCTAAAATTATGGGATCTGGAGGGCGAGTGCCCTCTTCCCACAGCCTCACTAGGTAGTGCTCCTACCCTACGTTTCCCCTCAGCACTGTCCTAGTAGATTATCTCTGTGGGGAATTTGTCCTGCTGCAGGCTTCTACCTGGGCACCCAGGCTTTTCCACAAATCCTCTGAAATCTAGATAGAAGCTACCAAGTCTCCTTCACTCTTGCATTCTGCACACCTGAAGACCTAAACCATATACGGAAGCTGCCAAGGTGGCTTGCACCCTCTGGGGCAGTGTCTCAAGCCACCTTTAAACTGAGGGTGTAACTGGAGCAACCAGTAGGTGAGGAGCAGTGTCCTGAGGCTGAGAAGGGGACCAACATCCCAAATCTGGGCCCTTAAATCATTTTTCCTCCCTGAGTTGTTGGATGAAAGCAACTTCCTCTCCTCTTGCTTCAGTTTCCTCATCTGCAAAATCAGATCATAATCCTGGCCCATTGAGGGGATGATTATAAAACTCCATCAAATGGAGAAGTATTTGCGAATGGAATGTATTGCAACATGTATTATGCAGTCCCTGTGTAATCACCTTTTTGTTCCTGCCTCACAAGCAGGGTTATGTGTGTAGGGGTGGGGGGAGGTGGCCACGATGCCCCCAGAGATGTTTGCTGAGGATGAAATAGGCTTCCATGGAAGGGTCAGTTTGGCTTTTGTGGTTTAGCTGCCTCTGAGGCCCTTCTGCCTGGGGCAAAGCACAAAAGTCCAGCAGCAATCTGGTTGCCTGACTTCTCAGCCATGGAAGTGTGGTGAGCAGTGGTCTCTAGTCCCTCCACCCGGTGTGCCTCGGGAGTGGAACATGGGGCGGTGGCCTCTGCTGGGGAGGATGCTGGGGCTTCTCTGAAAGGAGGCAATGCCTGATTTTGTCATTGAAGGATGAGCACGATTTTTCCAGGTGGTGGAAGCAGGTGCTCCTGGCAGAAGACCCCTCATAAGCAAATATCTAGAAGCCACAAGGCATGGCCTTCAACAAGAGCAGGCCTGGTATGGTGGCTCATGCCAAGGTGGGGGCATCACTTGAGGCCTGGAGTTCAAGAGTAGCCCAGTCAATATAGTGAGATCCCATCTCTAACATATTTTTTCAAAAAATTAGCTGGGTGGCTGGATCATGCCTGTAGAACCAGCTACTCAGGAGGCTGAGGTGGGAGGATGGCTTGAGCCCAGGAGTTTGAAGCTGTAGTTCGCTGTGATTGTGGCAGTGCACTTCAGCCTTGGCTACAGAGTGAGACCCTGTTTCCAAAACATAAACAAAATAACCCCAACAGCATTACAATAAATATACAATAAGCATCCACACGGCATGTGTGGGAGACTGTGCTTATGCTGATGGCATGGGCAGGAGGAAGGCAGGCATCTGGGGAGTGTGGGTGCACGGGAGGACAGGGAGTAACTTGGAGGGTCCCACAGGCTGTCAGTGGCAGGTCTTTCTTCCTGAAGACCACTGCAGACCCCCAACCTTGAGGATGCGAGGCAGGTGGGTTGGATGAGAGGGACCTGGGTGTTTCGTCTGTGGCTGCTCCTCTAAGTGCAACAGCAAAGAGGGTGGGCCTGGACTGAAGGTGGGGCTGGGGAGCAGCCTGTTTGCTGTGCTTCACCACGAGTTGCTGGGAAGTTGTGACATTCACCTTCCCTTTCCAATTTCCTAGTTATCTGGGAGGCCAGAGGACGTGTCTGGTTATTACACAGGTGCACAGCTGGAGGTGGGATCCACACAGCTCGGAACAGCTGGATCTTGCTCAGTCTCTGTCAGGGGAAGATTCCTCGGTAAGTCGGGGACCGTTGACCTGCCCCCATCTCCTTATTCTCACAATAGCTCCATGAGGGAAGGATCATTCCGCTTTTGTAGGTAAGTTCAGAGACATTAGTAACTGGTTCAGATCAGACAGAAAAGCAGTAGCAGAGCCGGGATTTGCACCCAGGCTTGAGTCTGATGCTCCCTCCCTCTTGCTGTGCCCTTAAACAGCAGAGAGAGGCCGGGAAACAGCTCAGATGGGTTCACAAAGCTCCCTGGGTTCAGCTCTGGTTTAGACTGCGGAGACACGGCTGGGTGACCCCAGAAGGAAGGTCTGTGTTGGGGGTGCCTGTCTCTTTGGGAAATTTGAAGGAACCAAAGAAGGTGGAGGTGGGGAGGTGACCCGGACTCTGGTCTGTCCTTATGGCCTGGAAACACCCAGGCTGGCCCCAGGGTGCTGCTGCTGAGGCCCAATGGGAACGACAAATTTATTTTGAGATACAAGGAACCTAGAGGTCATCTCACCCCCTGCCAAGTCTGAGCACCAACTTGTGCCAGGCCCTGTGGGGAATCTGAGGCCCTGGGAGGGGAGTGACTTGCCCAGGGTCCCGTGTCTGGAGGCTGAGCGGGTAGATCATAGGACTCCACGTCTCTGGCCCTCACCTCTGTCCCTCTGTTCAGACCTCTGGGGGGATGGAGAAGAAACAGGCTGTGCTGTGTCCCTCATGGGAAACATGGCTGAGACAGGGAGTGAGAAGGGCATGTTGTGGAATGGTGTGTGTGGCATGATGCCAGCTTTGCAATCAAGAGATTCAAAAACCTCACTGTGGAATTGTGGGTATAACTACAGGAGTGACAGCTTAGATCTCTCCGTTTGTAGAAGCAGAATCAAACCTGGAAACTTTTGGATTATCAAAATTACACAGTTTTGCTTGTATATCAGAGTCACAAGGCCAGATGTTGGCCTCCCCTCTGCCCTCCAAGAGCTGTGTGACTCTGGGCAAGTCACCTCCACTCTCAGCCTGAGTATTCTCCCCTCTCAAAAACCTGATAGAGCTGCCAAAAGTACATGAAATCGGGGGGAAATTACCTGATAGAGCTGCCAAAAGTACATGAAATCAGGGGGAAATTTCTGTGAAATCTGAGTCATGGTCTTATTTTTCTTCACTAAGAAGAGATGCCCGTCAAGATAGAAAGCACTATGGCTGTGGCTTGTAACCCCAGTGCTGTGGGAGGTAGAGGCGGGAGGATCACTAGAGGCCAGGAGTTCAAGACAGTCTGGAAAACACAGGAGATGTTGTCTCTATGAAATTAAAAATTAACAAATTAGCCCAGCATGGTGGCGTGCACCTGTAGTCCCAGCTACTCAGAAGGTTGAAGGAGGAGGATCACTTGAGCCCAGTAGATCTAGGCTGCAATGAGCTAGGATGGCGCCAAAGCACTCCAGCCTGGGTGACAGAGCAAAACCGTTTCTCAAAAATGAAATGAAAATGGTGATTTCTCAGGAGGACCACACTGTGTCGACCCTCTATTCCTGCCCCAGGAGGAGGCCCCGCAGTGACATGGAGGGAGCTGCTTTGCTGAGACTCTTTGTCCTCTGCATCTGGTGAGCTTGGCTCAGAGTGCTGAGGTGGGAGGGAGGCCCCCGGTCTGGGCTGCACAGTTGGGCAGGGCTTGGGCTGGGCCTGGGCCATCTGGGTTTCTTTCAGGAACCAAAGTCCCTTCCCAGAATTGACCAACCAGCAGACTCGCCCAGGGAGGACCTGCTGTATCCTAGTCAAGGCTAACGGGCAATATCCAGCCTCAATTCTCAGCAGAGGCCCCAGATCAGGGTCTGAGCCAGGCCAACAATGACCAAAGAGGATGGGATCCTGGGTGCAGCTCCTCACAAGTGTCGGGCGAGTCTGAGGCCGCAGCTCTCTCTGCCCTCCTGCTCCTCTGTTCTCTCCTGGTCCTCCTCGTTCATGGTGTTGAAATGGCTGCCCTGGCCCAGGGAGTCATACAGTGAGCAAAGCAGGAACAAGGGGAAGGGAACCCCCTCTCCTGTCACCCCTGTCCCTTACAGCAAGAAGCGCCCAGACACCCCTCTGCATACGGCCTTTGTGAACTGCTGCCCAGGACTGGGTCCCCCTTCTACCCTTGCTGTATGGGGGCCCCAGAAGACAGACATCTGTGTGTCTGAACCCTGGGATAAAGGCAGGAAGGGGAAAGAGGGAGGCGAGTGGCTTTTGAGGAGGGGGCTTTTGTATGAGAGCTGGAGGATGGAACCCCATCAGGGGGCCCGGGAACCACTGAGCTGTTAAAATAAAGGCTGCAAACAAAGACCAGCTGCTGGAAGTGGGTGTGCCAGGGAGTGAGCAGAGACACACGGTGAGAAAAGAGAAATGGTAATGCCTGGAGCCGCCCCTGACTGCGATGGGCCTGAAGCCGTATTATTAATAGTAATTATAGTATCATTATTAGTCATTTTCATCTTATTTGTATCCTCCCTCTATCTCTCCTCTCCACCTTTTCCTAACATTCTATCACCAGTTTTATGTCTTCCATTAGCAACTTTGTAGCTGTAAACAGTTTACTTACAACTTTCTCATGCCCTAAGTTGTACCCAGTATTTCTTAACTTCCCTCTTTAAAAAATGACGATATTAATCTTCCTTCTCCTTCCTTCAGTGCTTCACATCCCAACTGCTACCTTTGTGCTTTAAATTTTGTACTAATTGGTATTGGTAACAAGTATATTTAGTTCTCACATTTCCATGTCGTGTATATGGTTTTTTGTCCTAAAGAAGAGACTACTGAGAGCCAGTGAGACTGAAAGAATGGGCATCTTCATGTACTGCTAGTTTGAGTGTGAATTTGGTACAATGTGCATACAGTGTGGCTGTAGGTATAAAACCTAATTCTACTCCTACGAATATCTTAAGGAAATAATCTCAAATGTGAGCAAAGTTTTAGGAGAAGGAGGATGTTCTTTGTAGCATAAATTACATGAAGAATTAGAAACACCCTATGTCCATCAACCAGGAAGGACAGCAGAGGGGACAGGGCAGCACCAGGAGGGCTCGGCAGCCACAGCAGGGGCTGAGCCGACATCTGGCAGGATCCAGGTCTTTGTGGGACAAAGGACCTTAGAGAAGCGACGGGGACACAGGCTGTCCGCTGCAGCAGCAGTGAATTCACCAAGACGAAGAGTTGAGCACAGAGTGTGAGACACGGATTTGCAATGAGGAGTCATTTCCCATGAGCGTGTACACATGACTGAGTATTGTATATTGAAGGGAGTAGAGCACAGTCATTGAAGACATGGGGTTGAAGCAGAAGTCCTGGCTCTAGCACTGTTGTGAAAACACGGGCAGGTTCCCTAACTTTTGTGGATTCCTCTGTGTTTGAATGGGAAGGTGGTTCCCATCTCCCGGGCTGTGTGTGGTCATCGAATGAGACACGTGTAAGGAGCCCTGCACATCACAGACACTCAATACACACTGGCTATCATCAACCAGTTATCACACACGTTCCCAGGCCCAGGTCATTGTCAGAACCTTCCTCCCCATCTCTATTCCTGTGTATGGACTCTGTAGTTTTCTGTAATGATCAGATGGCTGCCCCTTCTCTGATTATCTTCTCCTCATACCCCAACAGGACAAGCGGACTTTTCCTTGGTGTGGGAGTGAGGGCAGAGGAAGCTGCAGCGAGGTGAGTGTCTGTAAATAGCAGGTGATGGGGACTCGGTGACTGAGAAACAATCTGGGTTAGGTTGGTCTTGGCGTTTTCTTCCACCCCAGAGGGATCTGCAGAGCCCCGGCTGCTCAAGCCTCCCTCTGTCCACAGGTGGCTCACATTCAATCCCATAATTTGTTTTCTCCTCCTCAAGGGTGCAGCAAAACCATCCAGGTGGGACAGATACAGGAGATCCTCAAGGTAAGCCCCTCAGTGACCGGGCTGCTGGCACCATGGACCCAGGTAGGCTCGCCTCCTCTTCCCTGGCTGGTTCCCACTCGCACCTAGCATGGAGGGTGGTGCCTCCACAGCTGAGTGAGCCCCAGAGGAACCCAGATGGACAAGGAGACCGATGAGTCTGCTCCAAGCCCCAAGAGAAGCCGCATAGAGTCCCCCGACCCAGGGGTCTGTGGGGCCATCTGCATCCTGACTTCTCCTCGGGGAGGCACGGCCCAGGAGCCCACTTCTTCTCTACCCTGGCACTAGCAAATGTCTCAAGTGGGGCAGGACGGCCTTGGGGAAATGGAACCAGCAGGGGAGGGGAGTGGGGGGAGAGCAGGGTCCAGAAGGGGAGGGCTGGGAGAGCAGGTTGACCAGCAGCCCCGACCTGTCACCTCCCACTCTGCTCCCAGCTGACCCTGGGTGTTTCTAGCCGAGGCTGGTCCCCTCCCTCCAGCTCTTGCCCTGCACCAGCCCCTCTGCTCTGAGTGGCCTTGTGGGAATGTATCAGGCCTGATCCAGCTTCCAACTTAACTGGACCCTGGTCTGGCCTTTGCCACGTCCCCTCTGTGTGACCTGGCGCTCCTTACCTCCCCTCTCCTGTACCATAAGAATAATATTTCTCCATGTTGTCTTGAGGATCAAATATGACACAGCTATCTGGCCTGGCTGGTGCCTGCCACACGGTAGGGCCTCCCTAAGGGCTGGTTCCCATCCCCTCTACCTGTCTCCTGTTGATTCCAGGTGGAAGTCACCCAGTCCTCCCAGCTGTGTTAGGGGCACCCGCCCTGCCCTGCCCACCACAAGCACCTGCTGAGCAGGGATGACTGCCCTGGGCAGGGGTTGAGTCCAGTCATCTAAAATACCCTGGTCAAAGAAAAATCTGAGGCCCAGTAGAATTTTAAAGAGTTTATTTGAGTAAGAAAGAATTCTTGAATTGGGAAACAGCAAACTGGAGGAGGCTTCGTGCTATGGTGAAAAAGTGTGGGAGACAATGTTTATTGGGTGAATATGAAACTGCTATAAGGACATGACTTGATTGGTTGCACTTACAAAACTTCCTGTTTTGGTTTACCTTGTTGGAAAATCCCTGGTCACGTTGGTGCTGGTGAGTTTAGGGAGGTCTCCGAACGCAGGTGAGACCGGACCTTAGCCTTGCCCAGGTTTTTGACATCGAAGAGAGAAAAAGGTTAAGTCAAAGCAAAAGCAAAAGCAAATCAGCTTTTATTGCAAAGCGGACGCGCAGGCTCGGGGGTGGGAGTGCAGGCGGACTCAGAAGAGCCAGTCGGGCCCAGTGTGGTTTGGGGTTTCTGCCTTTGCTGGTTTATTAAATTAAGGGGTGGAGTAAGCATAAGGATTTCTGGGAAGAGGTGGGAATTTCCTGGAACTTGAATGGGGTGGGTACCACGCAGTTTTGTACCAAACACAGGCATACATGAAACTGCTGTGGCGCGGGTGGGGGTGGGGTTTAGTGAGACAACGAGGGTATGATTGAGTGTGAGACGAAACGTGAGCCCGACCCAGCACTGAGTTAGATCTTACTGGTCTTAGCCGGATTGGCCACTTCCTGTTTGTCAGGGTCCTGTGGGCCCGTCGCCTCCCCCTGTCCTTGCAGCTGGTTTCAGCAGCTCCTTCTGTGTCCGTCATGGGAACCTGCTGCCTGGAGTTCTTGTTTCTTCTGTGACCTCCCAGTATTCCCATCTCAGTATGGCCCGCTGTCAGCTGGCTGCTCGTGACTGGCCAAGGTTAAGTTTTGTTTGTGTCTAACAGAAGCGCCCATCTGATACGACCCCAGTTCAGTTTCCCACAGCTTGCAGTTTAAGGGGGGTGACAGCCGTTCTCAAGGCCTCATAGGTATTGTTTGCCCAAGAATGTTTCAGGGCTGGATTTTGTTTTAATTTTGCTTTTATATCCACCAGCCCCACCCCATCAAGAAATATACAGATTTAGTGCTGGAGGTTCCTTCCATCCAACCCTGGGTTTCCTTCCTCGTTTTGGTGAAGAAGGAAAAAGAAAAAACAAGTCAGTTTTTCTTTGACTTGTGCTGACCCAGCCGAGTCAGCACTGCGTTCATTTCCCTAAGCCCCATTTCCTCAGGACGGCTTCCTCCCCTCACTGAGTTGCAGTGGCAACCAAGTCAGCTCTGCTCAGGAGCCGCCCTGGACAGCAAACTGGCCCGTGCTGAGTCCTGTCCAAGAAGAGGGGAGGGCGGGGAAGATTAGAAGCCAGGAGCTCCTAGGCCACCCCAGATTCCTGGGCTGGGCTGGGCTGGGCTAGGGGGCCAAGGAAGAAACTGTCCCTCCAAAACAGGATGATCTGTGGTTTAATACCAAATCACAGGCATTTTTAAAACACAAGGAGTCTTCGAAGCAATGTCAAGGAAACGTTGGCCTTGGAGTCAAATCCTGAGCTTCCTGCTTGCTGGTTTTGGGCGGTGACTCTCACTGTCTGGATTTTACTTTCTTCTTCTGTGAATTAAGAATGGGGCCCCTTGTGTGTCCACAGCAGGAAACAATTTTACACCATGTCTTGGTGCACACACAAATACATACTAGTCCCCAGTCCATTATCTGTAATTCCATAATTTCCAGATCCCTGCAAACCACACATTTTGGGGGCAGCTGACTTCAGGAGTAATCCTGCTCTGTACTGACTCGAGTTCTTTGTAGGCCTACCATTATTTACCCCATTTAATGTGAATATTTGCTTGTTTCACTGTTGAAACATGCATGGGTTTGATTACAGGGAGCAGTCCAGCCTCTGCTGGGAATGGTAAGGAATATACCATATGCACCTCGTGTCCTTTCTAAAATAGTGAAAATTGGGAATGCCTAAACACATCTGGATTCCAGGAATTTACCTTAAGGGATATGTATTTGAAATAACTCACAAAAGCAATACTCACCCCTGCTATGCTTGGTACGCTTTGATATTTTCAAATTGATTTTCTTTTTAACATGCTGCTCTTTGAACGCAATGATTATCATAACCCAATGATGTGTCATGAAACTCACATTTTGAAGACAGGGGTATAAAGTGTTTGACACCCAACAGGCACGTGGCAGATAGAAGTGATCACTGGGATGTTTCCACTTCCTTGGCCTGGAAGGCTCACTTTGTGTTGGTGCTGAGCTGAAAGGGATTCATTCCTCCCCAAAGCACTGTGGCACTCCCCTGGTGTTTCAGTGTTCTCAGGCTACCATGGTAAAATATCACAGGCTGGGTGACTTCAACATCTGGTTTTTCTTTTCTCACACTTCCAGAGGCAAGAAGTCCAAGGTGAAGGTGCCGGCAGGGTTGGAGTCTGGGGAGGACTCTCTTGCTGGGTTGTGGAGGCTGCCTTTGTGCAGTGTGATCATCTGGCTTGCTTGTGTCTCTTTCACTTCCTGCAGTAGGACACTAGCCCTCTAACAGGATTAGAGTCCTACCCTTGTGATCTCATTCAGTCTTAATTGCTTCCTTAAAGGCCTGATCTCCAAATATAGTCATCTGACTTTAGGGCTTCAGCATATGAATTTTGGGGGCACACAATTCCCTTGATAGCACTGATGACTCCATCAAACGTATCCCACATCACAGCTGTCCTGGAAAATTAACACGTAACCATCTTTTACACAATGGCTGTTATGCTCCCCCACACTTTCCTCCAACCTGATCCTTTTTTCTTTCCAACTAGAGAGCAACGTTTCTCTTGAGGGTTACCTTAATTATTTCCAGAAAAACGTGAGCCCACAGGAGATGCTACTCCTGCTGAGTGACAATAAAGCCTGGGAGAGAGTGGTGGCTACTGCTGAACTGCCCAGGTAACCTCCATGGGGTTATCTCCATTGGGAACCCTGGTGATGCCACCCAGATCTCCCTTGGACTAGTTTTCCCTGACAGACACACCTCCTCCAGGCAGCACCCTCTGCTGGGCGTTAGGATGACCTCGGCAGTCCAGGAGGAACATTTCCTCCCAGTCCTTCGCTGGCAGTGAGTAGCCTCAGGCTGAGGGGACAGGGAGCCCACAGGGACAGGGTCATTTCTGCCATCTGCTGGTCATGGGAAATTTGCGAGTTACTTTCCCACTTTCAGCCTTTCTTCATCCATGGAGTTTTACTGTGAGAAAAATGAGATCATGCATGTAAAGTACTCAGCATAATGACTGACACATAGTAGGTGCACAGTTAACATTAACATCTTACAAGGTTGGTGGAAATAGACCAGGGTCAAGGGTCTTCCTCTTGAAGTCCAGCAGCACTTCCTTTGGGACAAGTCCGAAAAATCCTGACTTAATTGATGTGTGTTCCTGGGGATGCTGGCTGGGGCCTTTTTTCTCATCTGAGGAATTCCATAAAGGCGGCAGGACCTTTCTGCTGGTCCAGGATGCTGAGAGGCTGGAGTGGAGTTGGACAGCACTGGGTCTCTTTCCGGCTCTGTCTGTGCCCAGTCCCTGGGCTGTAGGCTTATGTCATGGAGACTGGGAACTGTCATCTGTCCAATAGAAATAGCAAGTCAATGTCATAGGAGTATGGTGAAGGCCTTAGAGTGAACTCCAGGTCAAAGGTGGGGAACCAAGATCAAGATCCTGCCCAAAGGCCAAGAGAGACCAGGACCAGTGTCAGAGCCTGGGGTCAGGATGGAGCAAGAGTCAGCCTTGGTTGTAGGACAAGTAGGAAGGTTGAGGCACCAGGGCTGGGACTAGGGTGTGGCAAGAGAGGCACCAAGGGCTTGAAACTTAAGGAGGTCATGAACTTGCAGAGGATATGTGAGTGGGAGAGGAATATTTCTTCTCTGTCGGGATGATCCCAACACTCATGGACATAGAGGGTCATGGTTGCCTGTGTCTCTCACACCCTGCCTTGGAACTGGCAAGTTTTGGGCTACCCTTTGGGATCTTCTTCTCTTCTACACAAAGAAGCCCCTGACAATGGCAAGCAGTATGCCTTAGAGACCATCTCCATAGTAGAATGAGTTGCTGTGAATGTATATAATTTCAGGGGTACTGAGCAGACTCACAAGTCCCCAACCAAGAAGGAAAACACTTCCTCTACCCTCTTGTCCAAATTCAGGTCCTTTCAGCATTAGCAATTTATACAGATGGTTCTGAAAGTGTCCTGAGTCTTCTAGAGGTTCCATAAAATTGCACACGGCCTTGGCGTGTGCACAGGTGAAGCTGTCACTGCTAAGGCATCAGTCAGGCTGGTGACATCTGCGAGTGAGATCTGGAAGGTTGGGGGTGCAGGGGGTAGGTCAGGAGGCGGTAAGGTGGCTGGACAGTCCACGTGGAGCCAGAATGAATACCCAGATCTCCCACTCCAGTCAACTGGGGCAGTGCCCGGACCCAGTAGCCTTCAGCCAGGTGAAAGGGCATGAGGCCTTGGAAGGGAGCAGACGCCAGGCAAAGTGATCTCCTGTCTCTCTGAGGTTTGGTTTCGTTTGAATTCAAAGTACTCAGAGGCAGCCAGACGGCAATGTCTGAGGGCACCTTACTTTTGACGCCACTTGCAAATTAATGGGGATTCCTAAAATCATCTTTAGATTTTATAATTCACTAGAAGGATTCATATAACTCACTAAAAACTGCTATTTCACGATTGTGGCTTATCACAGGGAAAGAACACAGATTAAAATCAGCCTAAGGAAGAGACACACAGGGCAGAGTCTGGGAGGGCTTCAGGTGTGAAGCTTCATTGTCCTCAGGATGCTGTGAACTCCTGTGTCAATGTGGGACAAAATACATGGGGTGCTGCCAATCAGGGAAGCTCACCCAGTTAAGGAAACATTCCTGTGAATCACATGAAATCAGGAAGGAAGCCTTTATTCAGGATGGTTGTTACAGGGGAGAGAGACCAAGTCCAGCTCCAAACACAGTAAAGACAGAGGGGGAGTCACAGCCAACACCAGGGTGAGGGGCAGCAGATGGAACAGAACTGACAGGAGACACCAGAGTGTGATGTTCCTGCCAAACTGGCCTAACAGGATTCTCGCTAAAGGCAGATCAGACCCTCACCCATCAACGGTGGGAGTGAGGAGCATGATCAGATAGCAAAGGGTGCTCAGACAGCAAGCAGGGAGGACCCTCCCTAAACCGACTTGGGGAGATTCTTGCTGAGCTGGGCAGTGCAGGTCCAGCAAGCAGTGGGTGGGTGTGAAAGGCCAAGGTCGGCGCCTAGTGGAGAAGAAGCTCAGAAGCGCCCCGCTGGAGCTGGTCAAGCAGAAAGTCTTTCTCAACCCATGTCTTAGTGTCCAGAATATTTGCTGGGGTTGGATCACAAGCTGCCCTCATGGCTGACCTGGAGTCTCCAGCCCCTCCCTGAGGTCTCACACCTTTAGTCCCAGGTCCTCTGGAAGTCAGGAAAGACACCAAATAGCGCCAAACCCCATCATCCATCACATTGCTGTACTGTCCCGTGGCCAAATCACCAGGCAAAGAAAGATGTTCCTACCAGGCAGGACACTCCAGGAGCCTGGAGATCACTTCCCAGGAGCTGAGGACAAAGGGAAGGCCTCTCTTTGGGAAAAGTTCATGCTTCACTTTGCTGCCATCCTGGGAATAAGGTGTCTTTGTCCCACTCTCACGACTCTTTGTTCATCTGCAGAGTTTTCCCCTCTCCAAACACTTTGGCAGTCACAGTGTTGACCTGCCCTTGAGTGAGGAGGCATCTTTATCAAACACCTACCACGAGAGAGCATCTGAGATGCCTTTAAGATATTTATTTCCATATGGAATAAGTACTGAGGGGTATCTATGATGAACAAAGCATGTTTGAGCTTAAATTCTCTTCATTTGTAAAATTTGTTTCTATTTGATTGATAGTGAGAGCTCTGCAATTTACACAGGATAGAGATCGCATGGAGCCCATTTCACAGACAGGAAAACTGCATTTCTTAATCCTTTAAACTTTCCTTGTGCAGGGATGAGGCAGATGAACTCTATAAAGCTCTGAACAAGCTTATAAGACACATGGTCATAAAAGACAAAAACTGGCTCGAAGAAGTCCAGCAGCACAGAAAGCGCTTTTTGGAAGAGTTTCCTCGGTTGGAAAGGGAGCTTCAGGATAAAATAAGAAGGCTCTGCGACCTTGCAGGTGAGGTTCAGAAGGTCCACAAAGGCGCCACCATCGCCAATGCGTTCTCCAGCACTCTCGGCGTTGCCTCTGGTGTCCTGACCTTCCTCGGCATGGGCCTGGCACCCTTCACAGCGGGGAGCAGCCTTGTGCTCTTGGAATCTGTGACGGAGTTGGGAATCGCAGCCGCCTTGACCGGGATTACCAGCGGTAGCGTGGAATACGCAAAGAAGCGGTCGGCACAAGCCGAAGCCCATGAACTGGTCAACAAAAGCCTTGACACGGTGGAGGAGATGAACGAGTTTCTGTATCACAACATACCCAACTTTATTTCCTTACGTGTCAATCTTGTCAAATTCACAGAAGACACTGGGAAGGCCATCCGTGCCATCAGGCAAGCCAGAGCCAACCCTCACTCAGTACCACATGTCCCAGCCTCACTCCACCGGGTCACTGAGCCAGTCTCAGCTACAAGCTTTGAAGAGATGGAGAGAGTTGGAGAGATGGAGAGAGTTGGAGAGATGGAGAGAGTTGCTGAATCCCGCACCACGGAGGTGATCAGAGGAGCCAAGATCGTTGATAAGGTCTTTGAAGGCGCCCTTTTCGTGCTGGATGTAGTCGGCCTCGTGTGCCAGCTAAAGCACTTACATGAGGGGGCAAAGTCAAAGACAGCTGAGGAGCTGAAGAAGGTGGCTCAGGAGCTGGAGAAGAAGCTAAACATTCTCAACAAGAAGTATGAGACTCTGCGCCAAGAACCGTGACCACAGGGCAGGGCAACCACCAGGGGAGAGATGCCTGGGATGGGCCAAGACAAAATGCAAACTTTTTTTTTCTTTTTTTGAGACATAGTCTCGCTCTGTCGCCAAGTTGGAGTGCAATGGCGCGATCTCAGCTCACTGCAACCTCCGCCTCCTGTGTTCAAGCACTTCTCCTGCCTTGGCCTCCCAAGTAGCTGGGACTACAGGCGCCCACCACCACGCACAGCTAATTTTTGTATTTTTAATAGAGATGGGGTTTCACCATGTTAGCCAGGATGGTCTCTATCTCCTGACCTCTTGATCCACCCACCTTGGCCTCCCAAAGTACTGGCATTACAGGTGTGAGCCACCGCATTTGGCCCAAACCCAAACGTTTTATTAGGGGGATAAAGAGGGTGAGGTAAAGTTTATGGAACTGAGTGTTAGTGACTTTGGCATTTCTGCAACTGAGCACAGCAGGGGAGGGGTTAATGCAGATGGCAAGTGCGGGAAGGAGAAGGCAGGAATTCTGGAGCCTGAAATAAGGGAAAAGTGGGAACTGGAAAGTGTGAGGAATGGGAAGAAACAGTTTACTTTAGACTAAAGAATATATTGGGGGACCCAGCACGGTGGCTCACGCCTGTAATCCCAGCACTTTGGGAGGCTGAGGCGGGCAGATCAAGAGGTCAGGAGATCGAGACCATCCTGGCTAACACGGTGAAACCCC